CACACACACACACACACACACACACACACACACAGGGCGCGCCACTTCTCAGCCTTTAGGGTCGCGATACCTGACAGACTGCTCATTTTGTAGCTCATAATGCGCTTGCTCACTCTGATGTTCATTTGAGGTCAGGAATCAATCCATTCGACAGTCAGGAAGCTAAGCCGTTTCGAAATGACCCAGAAATTGTGGCAATGAATCAGCTGGTCGAGGCTTACCAGGACAATAACTTGACGGAATTTGAAAGCATTCTGAAGACAAATCGTGACGCAATTATGGCTGATCCATTTATCCGTGAACATATTGAGGAGCTACTGAACAATATACGTTCACAGGTAGCGACCTTTCAGAGCATTTTTAAATTCTAATTTTTTTGAACTTAAGTTTTTAAACCACTTGAAATTCCAGTTAAATTCACTGTTTTTAGAATCTTTTGAGCATCTCAGTAACTGGTTGATTTTTTTAAAGTAATGAACGGTAATTAAAATTGAAAAATTTGGGAATTAAGTGTTTTTCCGCTATTCCTGTAGACATAATTTATCCCTGTTCGAAATTCGTTTTTCACTAATTTTTCACTGAATGCAGTTTTTATGCGTTTTTTATGCGTTTTTTGCAGCCATGCAATGCGAAAAACGCATATTGACGAGAGGTTGTCTGTGTGTGTGTGTCTGTGTGTGCGCTGCGCGTCTGTATTTTTCATCTCGACACCTACAAAAGCTACAGGGCTGAAACTTTGGAAACTTAATCTACATGCATGTACGGACCCAGATCCTCAAAATGGGCGCTGTCACCCGCGTGCGACCGACGTACGGACTCGCCAAAGTTTTCTCCAGTAAGTTGCTAGCTCGGGAGCCTGTAAAGCTTGAAAACTGGAATTTTAAAGGGATGTTTCCTGACAGTCCTGTTGGCCAGTCTCAATTTTTTAGCTAAAAGCATCTGCAGGAAAAACCGGTGCCGTCAGCTACAGAAACCTGTGGGGAACTGTGCGAAAAACGCATCTTCGCACGGGCAGTCGGTACGCCGGTCACTTATGTTATATATTTGTTTATTTTGCCGTTTACTATAAATAGCGGGCACAAACGCAGTACGTGAATTTTGCGGCTTAAGGATTTGCTGTAGTTCTGCCTGGTGGTTTAAGTGCATGTTAGCAGCACTAAGCTTTGATTTTGGGAGTAACTTTGAACTTCGTAATTTTGAAATTTCTAGCTTCGGCCGCAGGTATGAATTGTATCAACTGTTGTACTGTTTATTAGTTTTGTTGAACTCACTGCTGCTTGGTTAATTCTCTTGTAATTATTTACAGGTATTGCGAACTTTATGCCTTCCATATTCGCGGATTCGTCTGACATATCTTGCGCAGGAACTGCACGTCGATGAAAGCGAACTTCTCACACTTCTTGTTGATTTAATTCTCGATGGTTCACTGAATGCTAAAATTGACGATATTAGCGGTATTCTGGTGACCGATTCGACCGGCACTGCAGCACGGTAGTTTTTTTTTTCTTTTAAATTTTTAAATAAAACCGTGTGCTCTAACTGAACAAGGTGGTAATGTGCATATGGCATGCATGCAGAGGTTACAAGCTGAGAAAAAGAGGGTTTAGCAGCCTTCGTAGTACAATTGTGAGGAGTTTTGGTGAAACGAAGTAGCCAAAAGTAAATAAAAACAAAAAATAGCAGGGCTTTAAAGTTGCTCTCTTTTTTAGGGTTAAAAAAAAATGTGAGTAGAAACGATGAAAAGCATGTAAGGAATTATTAAAGTAGATGTTTCGGTCCATTAAGCTCAGGGAAAAAAAAAAACTGCTCGGTGAAAAAAAAAAGATAAAAAATCGATGCTTACATTTTTTCTCTGCCGCTGATATGAGGAAAAATTAGCCTGAAAAAGCTGTATTTTTAAGATCTCATGGCTCTCGAATAACGGATGGCTTTTTTGGCTTTTGTTCACGAGAGAGCTCGTGAACACTATCTTTTTCTTGTTTTTTTTTTTTTTTTTTTCATATGATGTCTAATTCGGTGTCGTATTTCCCGTTAATTCTGCGCCTCATTCGTTTCCAAACAGATCAGTCCAAACTTTTTCATAATTTTCACTGTAGCGGTGAATGGACGGCCTTCTTTCCTCCTCGCGTTTTTTTATGCGTTTTGTGCTGTGTAACAGCAGTACAAAACGCATATTGTCACGGGGTTGCCTGTGTGTGT